GTCACAGCCAAATTATTATTATTGTTATTGACGTTGACAGAGTTCCGGTGGGGACACCAGCGGGCGAAATGATTCGGGTCACCGAAGAGAAAGCAAGTACGCACATTAGAACCAGGTTGAGTCATTATCAATGATAACAAATAGTACAAAAGCGAAGCCCCACAGCACGTAGTCTGACTCCTACGACGGTTACTTCGTGAGCTAAAGTGCAGATACAGTCATCATTGAGCAGCGTGACCTGATAAAAGCACAATGGGAAGAGACCCAACAATCAAATCCACACTAACGAAGGACAGACAGAAACGGGAAGGGAGAATAAGGAAGAAAGAAAAGGAGAAAAAAATCGTATGCGTGTTTACAAAATCTCCCGAACGCGACTTAAAACGAAAAATTAACATGAAGCTCAGGCGGCGTGGACCCGRCGTTTCGGCTGTCCGCCATACAACACTCCTCAGGGGTCTTTGAGTCGCGGAGGTACTGTTCAAAAACAACAACCTCTTTATATACCTGCGTAGGTCTAACGAGGACCACTGAAGGAACCTTCTAGTCCTACGTAAAAACCACTCAGGCTAGAAGTTGGAGAACTACACCGAACGTCAAACCCCTCCAGATTCTAGTCGTAAATATCCAAGCCCTCGGGACTRGTCCCTTCCAGTCCATTCGTAGCGAAAATTCATCTTTCAAAAAACCTCGGGAGAATCCATTCAAAAACGAATTTCGGGGAACCGTAAAAGATCAGGAAGATTCCAGCCCCCTTAGAAACGAAATTGACCTCTGCAAACTACACAACCAGTATAGAACCACGAATCATCAGATCGAAACCTGTCCAAAAAATTTCACAGCTAAAAATGACAGGAAGCAAAAMGGTCCCCTGCTCAAATCCTTAACCCAGTCTTCTGCTCGAAACCACAGAGCATCAACTCAAAGCCAATCAATCCTGCTCGGAACCACAGGTCCTTCGTTCAACACCAAAGTCCTCTATTCAGAACAAAATATGACTCCATTGTGTGAGAAAAGGAAGCATGTGGTCCCAACAGCCGCATAACTTAGTAGAAAAGGACACGAGGGCATTGTCAAAAAAGTGATCCGGATAGCCACGTTTCCACAACTCAACTTTAAGGGTGAACAAAAAAGCAACTTCCAGACCCGGATCAGCAGTGAAAGATCGAGCACGACGAAAAAAAGAAATAATAACCGCCATTTTTTTTTTGTCTGCTGGAAAAAGAATAGTCATAAATACTCTGGAAAGTCAGASGGTCATTGATCTCAGCCCTTTGATTTTTGTGAACAGCCACGCACATCGATTTAYAGGGATTCTTCACAATCTTCAATACACAACAACGAAATCCCAGCAGTCGCCTTCACTTGTCCTCTCAAGAACCAAATTGGTATCATAACAATATTGAAACTGCCGAAAAATTTTATTGGCCTTCAACTTGGATTGTTCGCAGTCTTTGCGGAAACGTACAAACAGAGAGAAGTCGTCCACAATACGGAATCCGCGAACCAAATTCCGGTCCGCACCCAGTGACGAAAGGAATATAGACTCGTTGAAAGCGCAAAGCAAACATGCCAGCGCRGGACTGGTTGACTTCCCCATAGGAATCCCAACAATTTGCTGCAGTAGAATTCCGGACGCGACGATGAAAGCGTTGCTAAGTTCAAATTTGACGARGGAGAAAATGACGGAGAATTTCAATAKGATCCAGCCATCCTCGCACCTTCCCTTAGTTAACTTAACAAGCTTCCCCTGTTCCCGGACCATGACTCCAACAAAGCCTTTGCTGTCCCRAAACTCAATAGCCCATCGTMGAGCACGMAGAATAGAATCGTGTGGTAAGTTAGARAACATTTCTTTGACKTCAAAGGAGCCRTCGATAACCTCCTCCTTCTCACCCAACAGATCATTCATCTACTGAATACCGGGAACGAGATCTAAAGTACAACGTAAATTAAAATGAGAGGAAGAGGGCAATTTCCATAACATCAAGTTTACCGCACGAGAGACCCTTCGACTAGCTTATACAACACCTTCAGGGTACGACGGACAAATGGGACGCCAYCGAGATATATCCTTATGTTTGGGTAAACAATAGGCTCGACCAAACGAACCGTTCTTGGCCCAACGACCGATCTTCTGAAAAGACTTTTTCTGAAATTCATCACCACACCGTTCATCCACAGACTCCTCACTTTGCGTAATTCTAACAAAAGACGAATTTTCCAAAAACARCTTCTTCATCCCTCGACCATATAGCAATGGACAACAAACCAACGTGTCCCTCAAATTGTGGTCGATGGAGGAACACACCAAATTACCAATTCGATCAYGATGATACCGCACCTCATCAGATAGACTAACAGATCCAGAGGAAACAATGGTTACACAACCTGAAAGATCATCAACCTCATTCGCACCAATAGATGGAAGAAACCCACATGAGTTGAAGGCCTTAACAATCTGTCGACGAAAACCAGATACATGATTCCCAACAGAAGGTTTGAAAACATTTTTAGAATTCTTCATATAGTCCGGGAAAAGATTGATAGAGCTCAGACGAAAGGACACATGTCCTTCCACACGGAGAAAGACCGCATCGCAGTCAACACAATTACAGACATAATTTCCTTCTYGAGCACAACTCCGAAAATTGTGGATCAGATCACCTACGGTTYTGTTCTTGCACCAAACTATACGCATCCTTCGAATAAGCAGCTCCTTCCATGCCGAGTCAYGGTGAAGATTTCGAACAATGCCAGCACAGACCTTACGAATTGCACTTTTACAAAACCGATCATCGAACAAAATGCGAACAACTAAACGTTGCCGAACAGATACACCAAACYGTGYCAAAATAACCCTCGAGAGAATGACCCTCAATCTCCCCCTTGTCCGTTTSTCTTGGAAACACCGAATAGCAGAAAAAACAAAAACCAATCTGCAAAACTCCCACTCGCGCAATTCAGACCTGGAAGAGGGATTACAGAGAAGAAAAGATAAAAGAGGTTTAAAAGCAAGAGACTTAAAACAGTAAGAAACAATAGATTGAAAGGTCAATATCACCCCATCGGCCAGCCAGCTATGAGAAGCTCGAAGTTGGTCACGACCAAAAAGACAAGAAACTATAGAAGATCCAAAACACCGTTTCAAAACTTAAGAAGCCGAGGGAATTGCACCATGAAGGATAAGATCGATGACAACAATCCGAAAGAAATAATCCAGAAACTTATCACGTAGAAGACGAGGTGACAGATACCGGATTCAAGCACAAGACCTAGCAACCGACCATGGACTAGTCACGTCCGAGAGGGAAGCTAAGAAACAGCTGAATCCCTCTCATCATTGGCTTCTCCTCCCCCGCCCTTCCCGCACACGTCATCAGAAATGTCTTCAATGAAAAAAGACTTACCTTTATCATTAGGGAGTGCAGCATCAGCAACTTTGGCAATAATATCCGCATCAGTCTCGTGCAAAGTAGAATACTTGATGCCTCCCTTTTCACAAATAGCAACGACGTCGTCCTTCTTTATGTTCCGAAACTCCTTTCTGGCTTCCTTCATGAATGCTTCACGCTGCACTTCTTTGGTTTCCGTCAGCGGATCACTCGGCTTCTTCTTTCCTTTACCCGTACGTCCTTCGGTGGGACATCCAGCCTCATCCAATCTTTCTCGAAAATTAGAACGTGGAATCTGGTTCTCCGTTTCCAATTTCGACAGCTTCTCTTTCATCTCGGCAAGTTGCTGTTCTGCTTCCCTCCGACGATTCAATTCTTGCAACCTTAATTCCTTCAAAGCGTTGACCTCCAGATTGTGCAGTTCCACAATCGGCTTGGATCCCCCAGAGCACGTTTCCCTGCAACGAACGCCGGGGTAACCTGCATTCCACTCTTGGCGGAGGGTGACAAAGCAATATGACTGCGTTTGTTCCCTGAATGTAGAGCCTCCCATTTCCAGGTATCAGCCTCTTGAACAACATTCTCATGCATAAGCTTGAGAGAGCGGACCTCAACTTCCATCAACTCCATCTTCTTTTGCACCCCAGCAGTCAAATCCATTTTTGCCTTCAACTCTTCTTGTTCCTTCATTAATAAAGCAATTGCATCATCCTGATTGCGATTGACGGTCGAAGTACTGGCCCCTCCATGAGCTTGAGCCTGAGTACTCCGGAGACTGTCGATCTGTTTCTTCAGGCCTTCAATCTCTAGTGCGCTGACACCAGCATCCTTCTTACCCTTCATCAAATCATGGATATTGTCGAACCTGGCATTCATGATAGCACTGAATTCTGCATGAAAATCTTCTCTCTCCTTCCTATCCTTCAACCTTCGCGCTTCTTCTTCTTTCTCCTTCCTCATCTTTTCTTCTTCAGCCTTTTTTGCGTTCCCTCTAGCAACTTCAGAGTCATAGCGAACCTTCATCAATGCCACAGTTTCCTCCAACACCGACACACGCTGATTAGTTTGATACCAACCGCCACCTTTGTATTCTGAATTCGCAGCAGCCACCGTGATGGATGAAGAGGGAACTGTGGAAGAAGGAGGAGGAGGAGGAGGGGGAGCTGGCAACGCCAAGAGAGGAGCCGAAGACGGAGTCACAACCAAATTATTATTATTGTTATTGACGTTGACAGAGTTCTGGTGGGGACACCAGCAGGCGAAATGATTCGGGTCACCGCAGAGAAAGCAAGTACGCACATTAGAACCAGGTTGAGCCATTATCAATGATAACAAATAGTACAAAAGCGAAGCCACACAGCACGTAGTCTGACTCCTACGACGGTTATTTCGTGAGCTAAAGTGCAGATACAGTCATCATTGAGCAGCGTGACCTGATAAAAGCACAATGCGAAGAGACCCAACAATCAAATCCACACTGACGAAGGACAGACAGAAACGGGAAGGGAGAATAAGGAAGAAAGAAAAGGAGAAGAAAACCGTACGCGTGTATACAAAATCTCCCGAAAGCGAGTTAAAACGAAGAATTAACATGAAGGTCAGGCGGCGTGGACCCGACGTTTCGGCTGTTCGCCATACAACACTCCTCAGGGGTCTTTGAGTCGCGGAGGTACTATTCGAAAACAGCAACCTCTTTATATACCTGCGTAGGTCTAACGAGGACCACTGAAGGAACATTCTAGTCCTAGGTAAAAACCACTCAGGCTACAAGTTGGAGAACTACACCGAACGTCAAACCCCTCCAGATTCTAGTCGTAAATATCCAGGACCTCGGGACTGGGACCTTTCGGTCCATTCGTAGCGAAAATTCATCTTTCAAAAAACCTCGGGAGAATCCATTCAAAAACGAATTTCAGGGCACCGTAAAAGATCAGGAAGATTCCGTCCCCCTTAGAAACGAAATTGACCTCCGCAAACTACACAACCAGTATAGAACCACGAATCATCAGATAGAAACCTGTCCAAAAAATGATGAGGGTGGCTTGGGGCTTGCCACACCACTGGCCAAATCTGGAAAAACAAAAGAGAAAAGAAAAGAATTCTGAAAAAGACACGAGCTATGGGCGTCTCCACACCACTCTCGACATCTGAAGAAAACAAAATGCGGCATGTGCATCTGGCCATGTTCTAGCGGGAGGTTCGTTCTCATTTTGCACATTTCGAGAGTGCTGCGGCTATTCGGAGATGAAGGTCACGGCTCTCGAGAGTAGTGGAGCGAGACCCACCAACCGGCCCACCAACTACTGTGGCGGGTGTGCACGAAATGCGGCACGGTGGCTGTGGGCCTCGCTGCACTACTCTCGAAATGTGCAAAACGAGAGTGAATTCTCCGCTAGAATATGGAAAGATACACAGCCAATATTTTTGTCTTTTGTGCATGTCGAGTGTAGTGCAGCGAGGCCCTGTATAGAGAACTATGCATTCTCCATGTGACAAAATTGGTGAGCAGTGCTCTTCTTTCTTTTTTTCCTTTCTTTATTCTTTCTTGTGAGCAGTGCTCTTCTGTCAAGTTATGCCAAAGTTTGAACATTAACCAATGGGCCTAGCTCAGTGGGGACCACACCCATGAACTGTTGAAATACAGACCCAAGTTCGAATCCAGATACAATCAGGTCACCAGAATAAAATCATTCTGAATTACTTGGGGCCGGTCTATTTAATGATGATATCTCAAGGCCGTCGCCCTTTTAAATTTCAAAAAAAAAAAAGAATTTTTTTTTTTTTTTTGAACATTTGGCTTGTTGCGGTAATCCCTTTGGGCCTGGCCACACCACTCTCGAAATGTGAAAAAGACAAAAAATGTAGCGGGTGCGTCTGGCCATGTTCTAGCAGAAATGCATTCCCATTTGGCACATTTCGAGAGTGGTGGACTGATGCCCTTTGTGCTCCGGGAGGCCGTGATCCCTTTGGGCCTGGCCACACCACTCTCGAAATGTGAAAAAGACAAAAAATGTAGCGGGTGCGTCTGGCCATGTTCTAGCAGAAATGCATTCCCATTTGGCACATTTCGAGAGTGGTGGACTGATGCCCTTTGTGCTCCGGGAGGCCGTGATCCCTTTGGGCCTGGCCACACCACTCTCGAAATGTGAAAAAGACAAAAAATGTAGCGGGTGCGTCTGGCCATGTTCTAGCAGAAATGCATTCCCATTTGGCACATTTCGAGAGTGGTGGACTGATGCCCTTTGTGCTCCGGGAGGCCGTGATCCCTTTGGGCCTGGCCACACCACTCTCGAAATGTGAAAAAGGGCCATGTTCTATCAGAAATGTATCCCCAGACTCCTCTGCTGCGCCGTCGACTTCTCTTCGAAATTCGGTGTGCGCCGTCGACATCTCTTCGAAATTCGGTGAGGGGGGGTAAGGTCGGGATGGACTAATGTTTGTCGTACCCTCTGGCCCGTTCGTCGTTTTCCATCTTGCATTCACAAGAGGCTGTCGAATTCGTTCTGACAGCCGTGGAATTTTTTCGCCGTTCGTGTCGTTGATTTGTAGGCGGACCTTGGGCATCCCGGCGGCATCTTATGTGGAATCTCTCCCCAGAGAATCTTCTCCCGGAGCACAAAGGGCATCGGTCCACCACTCTCGAAATGTGCCAAATTCAACAACTTTCGACAGGAGCTGTCGAGAAGCATGCTCTGACAACTGGAGAATTTTTTTTCCCGTCTCCGACTTCGACAGCTTGTGTGGCGAAGAGAAACTGTCGAAAATTGCATTTTCGACAGTGGTGCGGCGATCGCCACACCAATGGCGAAAACTGCATTTTTGACATTTTCTCCTCGCCACACAGCATCCAGGTCGGGAGCAGCCCCCGCATGTTCTCTCGTGAACACGGTTCTGGCTGCTACGGGGTTCCCGTATGCCTACAAGTAGGAGTAGTGGTAGGTAGGTAGTGTGAGGTGAAATTGAGAGAAGAATATAGAGGCTTGCCACACAGGCTGTCGAAAACAGGGTTTTCGACAATTTTGCATCGCCACACAGACTTTCGAAGAATTGCGGTTCAAAAAACTTTCTACAGGTGTCAGAATGGTCCTTTCCACAGCCGCCCTCCAGCAACCGTTTCCTCCCGCCTGCAGCTCAAGGAAATTCGACAGTCCACCGCCGGGCTTTCGAAAATTGCATTCGAATTTGCGTTGGCAGAGACTGCTCCCTGACAGCCATGGCCTGTTTGTCCGTATGTAGTCGACAGTGGCTGTCGAAAACGGCGTCTGCATCTGGTCCGGTTGTGTGGACAAATTCATATGTGTAATAACTCCCGACAGTCCACCGCNTGTAGTCGACAGTGGCTGTCGAAAACGGCGTCTGCATCTGGTCCGGTTGTGTGGACAAATTCATATGTGTAATAACTCCCGACAGTCCACCGCCTTCACCACCTTCGCCACACAGCACCTGTCGAAAGGCGGTGTAGACTTGCCTACTTTCGACAATTTCACCTCTCGACAGGCTGTGTGGCGATAGGGGGCGAAATTGTCGTGCGCGGGGCTGTCGAAAAATTACTGGCACCTGTCGAAAATTTTCGACATTCGACAGCCTGTGGGGCGAGCCTCATAGGGCCTCGTCACACCAATGTCGAAACCAGAGTTTTCGACATTTTTTCTTCGCCACACAGACTGTAGAAGAAAAAATGTCGAAAAATCTTCGACAATGGTCAGAAAGGTGGTTTCAACATGGGTGTAGAACAGCCCGCTTGCAGCGGGTCCAGCTTCTACATCACGGAGACGAGGTGTTGAAGGATGTGTGGATTTCGACATCTATGCCTCAACATCCCGTGTCTTCTTCTTCTTTTTTTTTGTCTTTTTCTTCTTCTCTTTTTTTGTTTTTTTTCCCTTTTCTAATAATGAAACTACGGTGTGGCGAAGGCGGCCATTGTGTAGAAACGGTGAGGGCCTCCCCACACCAATGTCGAAACTAGAGTTTTCGACATTTTCTCTTCGCCACACAGACTGTCGAAGAAAAAATGTCGAAAAATCTTCGACAATGGTCAGAAAGGTGGTTTCAACATGGGTGTCGAACGGCCTGCCTGCAGCCGGTCCAGTTTCGACATCACGGAGACGAGGTGTTGAAGGATGTGTGGATTTCGACATCTGTGGGCCTCGCTGCACCACTCATGAAACACGCTTTTTCAAGAGTGGCGCACCGCTGCACTTACTCTTGCATTCGGCTGTCAGAAAGGGCGCCTAGAGCTGTCGGGAGGGACTCTTGATAACGTCAAGAGTTGTCGTCGCTGCACTTGCTCATGGTTGCCGCTCTTGAAAACACGTGTCAAGAGTTGTCAGGAAGTCGACGTACACGAACGCCTATAGCACTCTAGGCGCGCCAGCCTGCAGCGGCCGTTTTCGCAAGGGTGGTCCGAAGGACTCCTGAAAAGGCGGCGGATTTCACGAGCGGGCCTGGGTCTGGGTCGACAAATCACGCTGGAGCTGTCGTTTAGCTATCCAAGAGTGCTCTTGCAATTTTTCGCTGGCAATTGCAGTTGTTGGTCCCGCAGGGGCCCAGCGCGGGGAACCCCTTCCGCCGTACTTGCATTGCATTGGAAAAACTGGGATAGTCGTTCGGCTCTGAATCTAGCGTGTTATCAAGGAAATATACACCGACTTCTGCGATTTTTCTCCCGCAGCCGTTCGGGTGGGTGGCGGACGACACGGGCCAGGCGGGTGGTCGAGGTGGGGGCGGCGGGAGGTGGGGGGGTGGACGTGGGAGGAAGCTGCCGACGACAGTGGACGGCCGGTTCGTCCCGGTGGTGGCGCTCGTCGCTGCGCTCAGCAGTGAGGTCCGTCGGCTATGGTGCAAAACGCGGGACAAGGCTACTGTCTTTTTGCGGCATGGCCACATCCTGTGTGTTGTCTTCTTGTAGCTGACATGCCGCACCGAGCGGGTACACCAACGACAACGTCATCGGCGAGTCTGCATAGATGGCAACAAGACGATCGTTTTTGCTGCGCGCTTCTACGTCATGGCGGGCATCCCTTCGCCCCACCGGCCGGACGGTAGCTTCACGTCGCAGGAGGCCGAAGGAGGTGGCGAACGTCGTTGCTTGTCCGAGGGGGGAGCGAGCATCCGTGTCTTCGAGGCAGGGAATGTGGCCGGTTTGCTTGTGCAGTCTCGCAATCGACCCTGAGGTCGATTGCATTTGGGGGGATATGGGGGGGGGGGGGGGGGGGAATGGGGGGAGAGGTGGGATGGAGGGCCGAAGGTGTTGAATTGGTGGCCAGAACGTGAGTTGCCGGCCCTTCCTTCGAGGTGACTGCGGTGTGTCCGTGCAGGTGGACATGCAAGAGTAGTAAACGATAAGAAGAGGACACGCTCACGAATTCTGTGTGTGCGATGTTAGTCCGGTTGCGACGACGGGCAGTGGTGTAGCGAGTGCTGCGTGTGTTGTGCCGGTGCATCGGCCATGGTGCTGTCAGCGCACGACTTGTTGCTGTTCGCCTACACATGCATGACAGTGTGGGCGGTGGGAGTCGACGTGTGCGCCGTGTTCTCACGGCTGTGCAGGTCTGTGTTCCGGGCGTGGATGACAGTGTGGGTGGTGGGAGCCGTCGTGTGCGCCGTGTTGTCACGACTGTGCAGGTCTGTGTTCCGGGCCCGGAGCCTTCGTCGGCGTCGCTCTTCATCGTCCGCAGAGATGGATGTGCGAATGGGCAATGGCGGTCGTCATTCTGACCTGCCTATACAGCAGGGCATGCCGTGCGTCCAGGACCTCAACGCTTGTCCCGTCGCCGGCATGGCACAAGGGTTGTGCTTCGATGGCACGCCATCATCGGAGGTTCATTCACATCTCCGACAGCTGCCGGACCTTCATGTGGGGCTTCGTGGTGGACGCGCTGCCCGTGTGGACGGCGGTGCGCGTCTCCCTCCTCATATGTTGCCTCTTCCGGACGACGACCATACCTTTCATTCGCATCTCCAACAGCTGCCGGACCTT